GAGTGGATTAATGCTGTTATCACAAGAGAGGGTTAGTTACTGAGGAGGCAGTGGGTTCCTGATAAACATGAGCTTGGTCCTCTCCTCTGCTATGCTTTCTTGCCCTTCTGCCTTCTACCTTGGGATGGCAGAGCAAAAAGGCCCTCGCTGGGTATCTGAACCTTAACCTTTGGCTTTCCAGCCTCTAGCACTATAAGAAGTAAATTTCTTTCTTTTTTTAAAAATAGATTACACAGTCTGTGGCATTCTGTTACAGTAGTACACAGATGAAGACAACAGATAGTATGATACACACACACACACACACATATATATATAATATTTGGTATGGTGACGGTTAAAGCAAAAACTTGAATTGAGAGAGTGACACAGAGGATGAGAAGGGTGATAGAATTTTAGATAAAGTGGCCAAAGATGGTCTCACTGAGAGAACTATTTTTGAGCAAAAACCTGAAGCACATAAAAGAACAAACTGTTTGAATATCTTTGGAAGAGAATCCCAGACAGAAGGAATAGTAAGTGCAAATTCCTGAGGCTATAGGTATACGGGATGTGCAAAAAATAGCAGGAGTCAAAGAGGGCTAGCAAGAATTAGGAGGATACTGAGAAAGGAGCTTCCAGAGATGAAAGGGGGGCTGATCACTGAATAAGGGCACTGCAGACCATTGTGAGAACTATGACTTTTAGTCTCTGTGAAATGGAAGTCATTTGAGGGTGTTCAGCTGAGGAATGGTATAGTCTGACTTCTAGGAGCTGTTTTGTAAGGGGTCACTCTGGGTTCTCTCTTGAGAACAGAAAGAGATGGGTAAGAACTGAATTGGGATTATTTAGAAGCTGATGTCAGTCATCCAGATATGAGATCATGTCAGCGTAAGTGATTCTGGATGTTTAAAGGTAGTGGCATCAGCATTTCTGGATGTGTTGGATGTGTGGTGTGAAAGAGAAGCAGGATTAAAGGATAGATTGCAATCAGTTAGGATAGGATAGGTGCAGTTAGCAGGGGCAGTTCAGTGTTGTATTTGAAAGCTACTTTATGTATTTAGGGTGAGTTGTTGAGTATAGGAGTCTGGAGCAAGAGAAAAGTCTCACTTGGCATACATGATTGACAGTTGATATTTAAAACTGCCACTGGATGAACTCCAATGCAGTGAGTGTAGACAAAGGGGAGAAAGGGGCCAAGGACTGAGCCTGGATTATACATATACTAATTCAGCGATAGGGGCTGGTGCTGTGGAGTAGTAAGCTAAGCCTCTGTCTGTAGCACCAGCATATGTCCTGGCTGCTCCTCTTCCAATCCAGCTCTCTGCTGATTGCCCAGGAAAGCAGTGAAGTATGGCCCAAGTGCTTGGGCTCCTGCACCCACATGGGAGACCCTGAGGAAACTCCTGGCTCCTGGCTTTGGCCTGGTCCAGCCCTGGCTGTTGTGGCCATTTGGGGAGTGAACCAGGCGTATGGAATACCTTTTTGTCTTTCCTTCTCTCTGCCCATTACACTACCTCTCACATGTTGCTGTTGATTTCTCAACAATGTTGCAGTGGATTAGTTTCTGAGAGGAACAGTGTGGTGGGGGCAAGAGGCGCGGAGTCACCACACAGACCCTGGGGAGTCGGGTGAAAGCAGGCTTGAGGCGAGCAGCCGGCAGACTCATTTATTTCAGTTGAAACTACATTTTATATAGCCAAGACCAGCCAATCTGGTCAAGGGGCAGTCTATGCCCCAACCAATCACAGCCTATTGCCAGGCAGTTTAAAAAGCCATCCAATCACAGCCTGCTGCCAGGCAGTTTCAAATCCATCCAATCACAGCTGGTTGCCAGGCAGGCTCCATTGCCAGGTGGGTTTCAAAGCCATTCCTGAGTAACTGACGCTCGCTTGCCAGTGGCCACTTTGGCATGGCCTTCTCATTCCACCACACTCACATAAATAAATAAAATCTTTAAAAAAGAAAAGAATTCAGTGGTATTAAGGAACAGCAATCTGAGGTAGGACAAATAAAGACTGTGTGTTATAATGAATAACACATTTAGCTCATGTTTTAATCCTTTTAATTATGAAACAAATGGTAGTAAAATAATCAGATAAAAAAGTGACCAATGATGCTGGGAAAAAGTAGGTAACTTCAGAAGTGACAAGTATTAGCTAAGACAGGTGTTAACTATGTTTAGTAGCAGAACTTTGTGCATGGGGCCAGGAATAAAGAGGTGATTATACTTTCACTGTTTTCTAACCATTGTAACTGAACACCTGCTGATTCTGATCACTTTGTACTTGATTTGGTGTTGAGAAATGATTTAAGGTGTGATATCCTGAATATCCTGGATTCTTTGTAACTTAGTACTTACTACTTTTATTTTATTGTGAATTTCAGTCCATTGCATTCTAAATTGTTTTAATACACTTGGAGAAAGGATTGGTTTTTTCTCTCTGATTCCCAGTTACATGTTTTTCTTCTGGTGCTCAAGGGTAAGAGCATTCTGGTAAAGTGTCTAGATGTGTCATCATGCCTTTATTCATGCATGTAGTAAACATTTTTCAGAATCTTCTATGTATCAAACAACATTGGAGATACAAATATCAAGTAAGTTTAGTTCTTGCCATAAAAGAGTTCCCGTTCTAGTGTGAATGAGCGATTATAATGTAATGTGTTGTATGCTACAGTAGAGATGTTGAGGAGAAATTTGTTAAAGAAACTTGAGGAGAGAACAACCAACTTCTGGGCAAGGATTCAAGAGTGCTTTGCTCAAGAGGTAATGCTTGAGTTTCGTCTTGAAGGATCAGTAAGAGTTTTCCAGAGAATAAGAGGACAAAGGACATTCCAAGAGGAAAGCATAAATGTATAGGGGAATTATTATGAAAGAAGTGCCAAGTATAGAAGGAAAATGCAGGATAAAATCAGAAAGACTGACAAAAGCTGGGTTATGTAGGCTGTTTTATGACCTGTGCTGGGTACTTTTGTATGTTTTCTGTATTTGCCCACTGAATTTCCAAACAATCCTCTGAGGTGATATAATATAAATAACAAATTTTCATATATATGACCTAAAGCATAGAATAAATAAGTGGTTTCTCAGAGACACACAGCTGGGGTGGACGATACAACTGAAATGCCCACATGCCATTTGGACTACCTGAATTCAATTTCCAGCCAGCTCCTGACTCCAGCTTCCTACTGATACAAACTTTTGGAGTTAACAGTGATAGTTAACGTAGCTAGGTTCCGGTCACCCACATGGGCGACCCTGAATGAGTTTCAGGCACTCAGCTTGATCCAAACCAGTCCCAGCCATTGCAGGCATTTGGAGAGTCAAATAGCAGATGGGAGTTCTCTTACTCTCTTTCTACTGATTTTCTTTCTTCTGTTTCTCTGCTTCTCAAATTAACAAAACAAAGCAAAACAAAAGGTCGTATAACTGGTAGGTGGTAGAGCTATGCTTGCGTTTGCATCTGATGCTAACAGTGTTCATTATGTAGTACTATGACTATTTTTTCCTCCTCTTCCAACAAACTTGAATTTAAAGACTCTTCTTTAGGTTGCCAAGCTTCCTGTCAAGCATGGTTTATGAGCGATGCCATATGACCCCTTCCAGGACCCCATGATCCTGGCCTTGTGACCTATGGCTCAGAAAAATCTTCCATCCTTCAATACTGTTATAGAACCTGTTGTTCACATCTCATGCACTTATTTCCCTCATGTAATTGTTGCCTCCAGGTTGAGCAACACTTGAGGATTATTGTTTGTTTATCTGTGTCGTTAAAGGCTTTCTATTTCTTTAGCTATCACTATAGATTTCTACTAAGCTGTGAATGGTAGTATGGGAGGTGTGGGTCCAGGAAGATGGTGCATCTCCTGCTAGTCAAGGAGTTTTACATGTGTTCATCTATAGTAACATCACTCTCTCTGGGAGAAAAGAGGAGGACTTATACTTGCTAATTCATCTTCTTTTGTATTCTGTGGAATGAAATGCTTTGCCATTTACAGGTCTAGAGTTCTGTTCCTTGAGTAGAGTCTTGCATTTTCTTGAGTAACTCTTTGAGCATAGCTTTTTCTTCTGTTAACAGTCTCCATTCACAGCCTTTCAGTTAGGTTTTGATTCCATGCTACCCATTTCCTTGTCCCTCATGCATGCTACAGTCTTTTCCTCTAGGAGTTATTTCTGCCAAGGGATTATTCATCAGCATTATCTTTTAAAAAAAACCATTTATTTATTTATTTAAAAGGCAGAGTTACAGAGAGAGAAGGAGAGACAGAGAAAGAGATCTTAGATCTGCCGGTTCACTCCCCAAATAGCTCCAACTGTGATGGGCCAGGCCCAACCCAGGAATCAGGAGCTTCATCTGGTTCCCCCTTGTGGGTGGCAGGGACCTAAGCACTTGGGCCACCCTCTGCTGCTGCTTTCCCAGGTGCATTAACAGGGAGCTGGATTGGAAGTAGAGCAACCAGGACATGAATCAGCACCTATATAGGATGCTAGCATCACAGGACATGAATCAGCACCTATATAGGATGCTAGCATCACAGACAGCTAGCATCAACGACTTTATTTACTAGGCTACAATGTTGGCCCCTATTCATTTTCTTTAATAAGCTGGTAGAAATATGTTCTTTGTGCTTTTTTACATATTTCTCTAGCAAGGAGTTTGAATCTAAGTTGTAATATAATCATTGAAGGTCACCCATCCAACAGAGACACTCCTGAGGTCATATTTCCTTTAGACTCTGCTAGCTTCCACATTCTGGATGATTCATGAAGTTAAGTAGCATCTGAAAGCACACACTACTACTGTCTTGCTGAGGCTGGGAGCTCAGCTGGCTGGACTCCAGGGCCAGAGCTCTTCATTTTTTGTGCTCTGCTGCTTTTACAATTCTTAACATTAAGGACTAGGAATTTTGCTTCTTTTGTTTGATAAACCTTTATTGAGCATCACTTATTGAATTCTCTGTGTCACAGGCCATGTAAGATCCTTGGGATACAAAGGTCTTGTCCTGTTCTTTTCTTTTTTTTTTGATTTATTATTTATTTTTTAACTTTTATCTAATAAATATAAATTTCCAAAGTACAGCTTTTGGATTACAATGGCTTCCCCCTCCCCATAACTTCCCTCCCACCCACAACCATCCCATCTCCTGCTCCCTCTCCCATTCCATTCACATCAAGATTCATTTTCAATTATCTTTATATACAGAAGATCAATTTAGCATATATTAAGTAAAGATTTCAAGTTTGCACCCACACAGAAACACAAAGTGTAAAGTACTGTTTGAGTACTAGTTATAGCATTAATTCACATTGTACAACACATTAAGTACAGAGATCCTACGTGGGGAATAAGTGCACAATGACTTAACAAATTGACACTCTTGTTTATGGCATCAGTAATCACCCTAGGCTCTTGTCATGGGTTGCCAAGGCTATGGAAGCCTTTTGAGTTCTTTCCCTTCCCTTCTCTTCCCTTCCCTTCCCTTCCCTCCCCTCATCTCCCCTCCCCTCCCCTCCCCTCCCCTCCTCTCCCCTCCCCTCCCCTCCCCTCCCCTCCCCTCCCCTCCCCTCCCCTTCCCTCCCTCCTTCCTCCTTTCTTGGATGTATTTATTTATTTATCCAAGAGGTAGAGTTACAGACATAGAGAGAGAGAGACAGAGAGAAAGGTCTTCCATCCACTGGTTCACCTCAAATTGCTCTAACAGCCAGAACTACTAGGTCTATCCAAAGCCAGGAACCAGGAGCTTCTTATGGGTCTCCCACACAATGCAGGGGCCCAAGCACTTGGGCCATCCTCCATTACTTTCCCAGGCTATAAGCAGAGAGCTGGATAGGAAAAGGAGCAATCAGGAAATGAACTGGCCCCACAGACAGAGGGTTAGCCAGTTATGCCTCAGCACTGGCCCCAAAGGTCTTTACTTTCAGAGGAGCTCACTCTCTAATGGAGTGATTCAAAGATTGGCGGCATAACTCTCATCCTTGACTTATTTCAAACATTCCTGGTAAATGTAGCCATAATGTTAATGTAAAATGGAGGATTTACTTTATAAAACTAAGATAGTAGTGATAGTGATATCATCTTAAGCAGTGTATGAAATTTAAATGAATATTAAACATTAAGAAAAAAGCATGATTAAAAACCTTTAATATGAAAATGTACAGTGTTGGAATTTTAATCCCTAGATTATAATTAACATAGCGAAATCAGGTGTTGAGACATTAGTGTTGATAAATAAGGACTTAAGTCATTCCTAAGAAATGAAAAATTTTTTCAAGTTCTTTAACATATAATCACAGAATACATGATTAGATATGTCTAAGCTGAGATAAAAATTATAGATATACAACTGAATGCATTTCTTTACTGTTTGTTTATGCCTGGATATTCTGTTCTTATACTCAAATGGGAACATTTCTCTCCATAAGGGATTTATTTCAATACCATGAATGTGACCTGTGAAAAAAGAAGTTTACAGGGGTTGTGCAGAGGCTGGAATTCTTCTAAAATGGATGAGAGAGCTTTGGATTGAGGTTGGAAAAGCGAAAAGATTTAGGGAAAAAAATCATGCCTAATATGAAGGGCTTAATCTCCTCTTTCTTAAGAAGAAAAACAGCACAAAAATAAAGTCACATTAGAAGGAGTTAAGAATTGTCTGCTGGATTTGAGGTTAAAAGACTGGTATGTCTTGATAACAATCTGGTCATAAAACTGTTCCAGAGATGGAAAAAAAAAATGCTTACTGACTAGAAATTTAGCAGTGTGACTTAATTTTATCAGGAAAAATAAACAAAATGAAATTTAGCTAATTAAATGCAATTGAAAGATATGGGGACAATTAAGAATGTGTATAGTGTACAACCTAAAATATTGTATCTTATACTCTTAGGAAAACACAAAAGTAATACAAAACAAAGCATTTTTCCTAGTTGAAAGCATGATCTAATTTTTCTTTCTTTTAAATTTTTGTCTTCTTTGAATGAATAGTTAGCTAGTTTGCTCTGTG